AAAGGCCCTCATCTCTCTGATCAGGACGAGGGTCACAGCAGAGAGCCCAGTGGGCACAGCGTTATTGGTAACACAAAGGAGGGAATGGAAAAGACAGGCACTCCCAAAAGTCAGGCCAAAATTATAGATCCTGCTCATATTAAGCTATCTCTCTGGGAATTCTCTTAATTCTGACAGGCGAGGTTCCTAACGAGTAATTATATTTCCAATTCCATACCATCATTATAATTTACACATTAACTATGACCCATATTATGTAAATTTCCCTTGAAACACGTCCAAAGTGAAATTTAAAAAATTTATAACGTTGTCCACGAGCTGTGATTTAATGAGATGATTCATAGACTTGCATTTGTGAGTTGTGCCCAGTCATCTGGTCCTGCACTAAAACCCTGAGGGGCATGAGGCAGTAGCTGGGACCACAGAGTCTCAAAATAAATCACCTGAGTTCAGTTTAGAACAGCCTGGCTCCATCACCTGAGACTTTGTGAGCTTCATCAGATGACTCAATCGCATAGACTCAGTTTCCTCATCAGTCGAATGGAGATAATAATGGCTCCTAGTATGTAAGGTTGTGGTTGTGAGGCTCTGATGAAGTGGAACACACACAGCTCTCGGAGTGCCAAGTGCAGACTAACAATACAATAAATACAAGTCACAATTGCTTTGTTATTTAATGGGTCGTTACTGTGTTCCACTCCAGGAAGCTGGATATATGTTCAAGAAATAACAAAAAAGTGCACATAAAATGCAGTGTCCAATATCACTTATCAGTGTAATTTGTATGGTGAAAACTACAGATGAAAATCACATTAACATATAAAAACAGGCATTCTCGAAACAGAAGGCATTGCAGACTTTTCAGATTATGTCTCTATAAATGCAAGTTCCCAAATTGACATTCCCTTTCATGTTGAAATAATAAATCACTCTTTGATTTTAGAAGAAGAGTGCACTTGCTATCTTGATAATAAATTCAAGTTTATTATCATATATTATGCTTTCCCTTTTTGTTCGAAATCACTGAGACAAACGAATGTTGAATAGTAATTACAACTGTATCTATGTTGAGAATTACCTGGAGTAGCTTAAATGAGAATTAAGGACACACTCGTGCCCATGCAGGTTGTGTCGAGGAATTGAAAATCAAGATAAAAATTCCAATCAGTAAAGTGGTGTACAGTAAGGAGAAGTGGAGCTATACTGTGGTCCCAGCCACACGTTACAGTTATTGAAGGCTTCTGGGCCGTGTAGACACTGTTGATCAGCATCACCCACTCTTTTTCTTTCTCTCTTGCCAAAAGAGCCCTTTCCCATGGCAGAAACTGAGAGCCCTGGCCATTCACTTACCAGCCTCTTGCAGCTGGAGCACAGGCCCTGATCTCAGGAGCGATCACTCTCCCTCTGGTTTATAAGAAAGGAAGTCTACCTTGACTGAAAAAGAGCAATGTTTAGGAGAAAACTCCTTCCATCTTGCTTTCAAGTACTATTCCCTGTAGGAAGGTATGTTGGAGGCAGAGCAACTACCTTTAGGATCATGGGGTCAAGCCAAGGGGTTTTTCAAAGAAGCCAAACCAGAAGCTTATAGATTAAACAGCCCCTGGAACACTACCTTCAGAATTCTTAAAATGTAAGATAATGGATCCAAATGGTTTAAACCTCTTTTGTCAGGTATTCTGATAGTCGCAACTAATGTGAGAGTTCTTAAGGAGCAGTTATACTAACTAATAATTGCTTCCATAACCATATAAAGTTATTATAAAAGCACTAATTTTAAGTAAAATAGTCAACATTGTATTAGTTATTGAGAAAGCATTCCCTACTCTTAAATCATCCTACCACCAAGTAGAAGGAAGAAACTGAACAATGCATTTTATAATACTGCAAATTCAATATGTTCCCATTTAAAAATGAGGATGTGGAGAGACAGAGAGAATATCTATAAAGTTATTTACTAAAACTTTAACACTGGTTACCTAGCTATCAATTATAATAAATTTCCTACTTTTTGGGAAAAAAATCATACATTCATCCCCCTTTTTCTGCATTATTCGATTTTTAATTAACATCTAAACAAAAATCACAGCCATTTTAATTTTGGAAAAATAAATAAAGCAAAGCCAGGATAATTCAGGTCTTATCTATTATTGTGGAAGTGTAACTTGTGCAAATTTTCTGGTAATTAAATAATTTCATCAAAAACTGAAAAACATGCCTCTTCTTTACTGAGAGAAGCCACTTCTTGATCCACAATGTCTTTGCTGCTAGCAAAAATCTAGAAATCACCTGTCTGCTAATAGATCAACTGCAGTTTGAGTCCATTCACATACAATAGAACACCCTCAGTGAGGTACACATGATCTAGAGAGATGTTCATGGCATATTTGAACTTTTAAAATATATGGACATATGTATGTATGTGTTATTTTTACAGATTCTCTATAAATTCATGTATAGGTTTGTTTAGGCAAAGAAAACCATTTTGAAGAGAATAATCACCAAATTCTTAAGAATGATTTTGATTAGTTTAGACTATTAGAGAAAGGCAGGGAACTTTTACTTTTTACTCTTACATCCCTTTATTATTTGATTTTTTTAACCTTGTACTTCTATTAACTGTGTAATTTCTTTTAGATTGTTTAATTAAAAAATAGGAAAAATAAAACAAGGACTTGTATCTGTTCTTTCAAGTAGTGCTATTAAAACTCAAGAGACTGGGTAAGCCAGCATCTCTTTGTCTGAATTGACGTTGAAATGTTGATGTGAAAGGTTAGCTAGTGAGGGCAGGCTAGTTGCAGAGGCCAATACACAGGTGTGGTGGCCCTGGCAAGACACGAGAGTACCCAAGACTGCTTGGTGTGTCATTATTCAAAACATGACACTCACGGTTACTTGTTTTTGCCCCATATAATAACTATACAGATATTCTAGTTCCAAACAAATGAATCACCATCAAACACAATTTTGGTTTCCAATTTTAATCACTAAACTCTTTCTTTTCTCAGTAGGCAGAGAAGGTAGATGTGCCCTTTCCTCTCATCTTCATCCATTTGTTGAGGGAGTCCAGGTCCCTATCCCCTCCCTCTCAAAGCATGAAGCTAAGTCTTTTTAAGTCATTACCTCTTCCTAGCCTTCTTCTCATCTTCCAACTGACTCCACATTTTGCTCCAAGTCATATCAAATTAAATAACTCCATGAAAATTTAAGGAAAATTGATGTTTGATAATCAATATTTTTAATTATGGGTTTCATTTTTCACTTTTTGAATGGACTGTAATTGCATGGAAGTTGACTCCATTCCTTTAGGCATAAAGCAGATTCCATCAGCCAAACAGTTCAGAAAAAATTTCTCCTCTTATTGAAGAGGAAACTCTGTGGGAGGTTTACGCTCTGTTTTCTCTGCCAGCTCCTTAGTGAAGAGCAGAAGGTCAGTGACATGAACATATGAATGAATGAACGTACAGGAATGTGGCGTTACCAAGTTTAGCGACTCAAGAGAGTTAGTCTTACCATTTAGAGGTCAGAATACATGGGGGTAAACAGTTCTGTTTTCCTTGCTTAATTCACTGCTTTAAAATTAGTTCCCAGGTTTTGCAAGGAAGGCCGTTTGTCAGACAAGGCATCCACATTGGTGCAGAGATGTGGGTTTCATAATCCTTATGTCCTGAAAGACCTCAGTGACCCGTAGGCGTCACGGACTCCCAGTCAGTGTCTTCAGGCCTCTTATGTGTGAGGTTCACCATCACGTCATATTGTTGAGGGAACACATGGCCTATTTCTGAGTCAGTTGCCAACACTGACTTCACGGATAATAAAACTGAAGTCCTCTCTCCCTCACTTGGAATGTAACCATTTAATTTTCCCAACTGTTATCAAACATTTTACCAAAGTGTTATAAAGGGACATTTTTTCCAATATCCATTAATCTCATATTAGCTTTGAAACTATATTTACAGAAAACTATTTTAAAACCTTATTTTAGACTGCTCTTTATTTATTTCTTCTTAAAAGCTGGAATAAAGACCTAGAAGTATGTTCATTTATCCATCAAACATGTCTCAAGTTCTAAGAAGGATCAGAGCAAGGTGTTGAGAAAGAATAATTGGAGAATCTAATTTAGACTGTGTAACATGGGAGAAAAATTAATTACAGTAATACTCTTACACACAAGCAAGTAGACAAAGCTAGGGAGAATATGAAGCACGCACACATGTATGATTTCCCTTTCTGCCAAAATTATGGAGAAATCCATATTAACTGACTTGCCCTGCTTCACTGTGTTCAATAGCCTTGAAATGTCTCATTTTCTTTACCAGTTGCAAGGTCTAATGGAAGCACATGAAATTGCAGTAATGTTGTGAAGGGATACTGGTAGAAGATTTATTTTAAATCTTGTGCGAAAGCTTGGTGTTCATTAAAGTGGAGGATTAATAACGCTCTCCAGTAGAGCCGGGCATAATGCAGGCAGGCGTGTGGAGGCTGAGCGCAGCCCTGCTGCTCCTCCTTCATCTTGACCCCTCCCTTCCTGTTACTTCAGTCTTAGCTTGTTTGAGGAGAAACTCCAAATCGTGTCAAATCTTGGTGAACTTTGCAACCTGGTTATATATATACCTGGGAAAGTAGAAGGGTGTCATGAAACTCCAGTTTCTCATCTGACATTAAAAGGAATGCAAGAGCCACTTGCAGCAACATGGTTGCACCTAGAGATGACCATACTAAGTGAAGTCAGACAGAGAAAGACAAATATCATATGATATCACTTATATGTGGAATCTGAAACATGATACAAATGAACGGAAACAGACTCAGAGACATAGAAAACAAACTTATGGTTACCAAGGGGGAAGGAGGCAGAGAGGGATAAATTAGGAGTTTGGGATTAGCAGATACAAACTACTATAGACGGAATAAATAAACAACAAGTTTCTTCTGTATAGCACAGGGGACTATATTCAATATCTCGTAATAACCTACAATGAAAAAGAGTAAGAGAAAGAACATATATATGTATTATGGAATCACTATGCTGTGCAGCAGAAACTAATACAATGTTGTAAATCAACTATACTTCAATAAAAATGCAGGAAGTAATAGTATTGTGGTCTCTAAGATGACAGAAGGAAAGACTTTCTCTTGTTTAATTGAACTGAATAAAAATTACTGGTCTCAACATACGTCTACATTAGAAACTGTTAGATTCACTTTTTTCTTAAGTACTGGATGTAAAATCTCCATGAAATGAATATTACTAGTTCATAAAAGGAGTCTTAGAGATTCTAAGAGAACATTTAGATGTAATATAAAGCAGCAGAGTTAGGTGTGTCTACTTTTTGAAAATATATTTGTATTGAAGTACAGTCAGTTTACAACGCTGTGTTCATTTCTGGTGTGCAGCACAATTCTTCAGTCATATGGGGCACACATACGTTCATTCTCATATTCTTCAGTGTATCTACTTTTATTTTAAATGCATCTTAGTGTGGGAGAATCCACAACTTTGGATTTCTACTTCAAGGTCTTATTGACAAAAAGTTGTTTGTTTTTAGTAATATTTATGTAATGTACTGATAATGCTTCTGTCTCTTTATTTATTCTTATCTTTCTTCTTATTTTCTTCCCCCCCTAAGCCTGGATTATCCTCCTCTCCAAGCTGCATTTTAGAAATCTAGATCCACCTGTATTACAGACACCGACAACACCAGGCAGCCTGCTGGTGGTTTCCACCTCTTGATTCATGTTAATGGTCTTGTCAGTTAAAGACTATGAGTTGAATACATCAGTTGTGCATGTACATAAACAATGGCCATTCTCTGAAATTAAAGCTGTAGAATGAGGAAGCTAACAGATTCACTGGTTTTCATAGGTAGAAGGATTTAGAGCATACCACAGAGGGCACCCTTCAATCTCTTCTTTAGTTGAAGTTCAAATCAGTAGAAAGAAAATAGTCAAAACGGATTTTAATCAAGTATTTTACCTGAAAATAGTGCACTATAAAACTTGAACTGGCTTTAGAACACACGTTATCTAAAACATTTTTTAAAAATCCTCCTATATTTCTAGCCTGTTAAAAATGAAATTTTCTGTAGAATGGAATCTATGTAGAAAGATATCTTTCCTTTCTTTTTCCTTTTTTCTTTTTTCTTTTTCTTTTTTTTTTTAAAATATTTTGCCCCTGACAGCAGAAATAAAAGGGAATGGTGCTGTAGAGGATTCAGCTGATCAATGTGGGCAAGTTTCGGCCATGGTAACCCTGAGTGACGGCTGAAGTCATTCTCTGCGGCAGCCTCCCCGCCCCACCGTATGCGGTTCTCTTCTCTCTGCCGCACTTTCTCTCTCCGGCCCACTCTATTACTCTGTACAGCTTCTGTGTCTCCTCCTCTGCCGCCCTTTTCTCTTCCCTTTGTCTTTATCTGGGGCTTGATGACGACAAGCCCAATAAAGCATTGTTCAGCCCCTTCTCTGGTTCTAAAATACAGAAGTATTTGTTGGCTACTTTTTTGCCTCATTAATTTCTTTCATTTTTTCTGATATGCCTGAAATGTCCAGAACTGTCTTTCAAATAACCCCACAGAAGTGCAGTATCAAAACCGCCACATTGTGGCCAATGTTGTTTTCTACCTTAATTCGAATCCTGAAATAACAGAAAAGAAGTTCTGATTTTTTCGTCAAATCCGTTCTAGGGAGGAATGTCATTTTATTCTTTTGGAAAGGTTTTTTCTTATTTTTTTTTTCAGATTCTGACTTTATTAGAAGAGTTCTAATGGAGAAATAATAGAAAATACCTTCCATTTTCCAGGATTTAGGAAAGAGTTCATTTGTTTGGAAGAGAAACATTTACTAATGTGTTATGGAAAACAGTGTGTGGTAATCTAGGCATACTCATGAAACAGTGAGAAATAAATACACATAAAACAATGAGAGAAGAGTATCTAATGGAATATCAGTAACATAGCACCTAGGGATTAGCACCTGATCTTCAGGTTGTAAAACAAAACGCTGGCCTGGACGTGAGGTCTGCTGCCACAGGGATGTATGACCTTGGGCGAGTTACATGCTCTCCAAGGGCCTCAGTTTCCTCATCTTGCAAATGAGGTACATGGACTAAATGATTTTCCCGATCTTAGAGACAGAGACCATAAGCATGGAAACTATGATACGTTTGATAATATTTACCACCTCAAATTGCCTACGGGGTTAACATTCCACACAGACTGAGGTTGCAGGAATATCCCAATGTCACTGCGCTCTTTAACGTTAATATAGAGGTAGAGAAACAGCGTGGGTGTTCGGCTTCCACCGTTTTGGGAAGGTACGGACCACACAGCTCCCTCTCTTCACCTGGTCAGCCACCGTTGTAGAGGATTTTAGGCTGCACCTTACTGGAAGCGCATCTGCCTTACAGCAGTCAATCAGGAAATCCCTTAATGGTGCCCCTCTACGTTCATTGCCCATCCTAATCACTTTTTTATTTGAACTAAAATCTCTGATGTTATTAGTATCATCCATGTCTCCCAGCAGATGATAATACAACTCGATGCAATAAATAATCAGGTAATCAAAATAAGCTGTGAATGCTATGATCATGAGGAAGTGGCAAGCATTTCCTTCCCAGGAGCCAGGCATTGTGTTTAATGCTTTGTCTTTCGCTCGCACGCTTTTTACAAAACTCTACAAGGTAGATAGACATTGTCATCATTCCCATTTTAACAGAAGTTCAGGTGATAAATGTAGATAGAAGAACAACACAGGGCTCTCTGCAATCACTCTTCTGTTTCAGAATTATTGGTTATACAAATTACAAATATTATTTTGACTTGCACATGTCTCTCGTTACCTCTTTCACTGAGCCCAGATCTGACACTTTGTTTCTTTGCAAAAAAATTTGACTGAGGCACAGGAGAGAACTAGAATTTACCTTTTCTACCTGACAGTCTTTTAAATAAGGATGTAAACATATTTATCAAAGTAGATCTTCAGTGAAGATGTGAAGAAATTACATTCCTTTCAGACCCTGGGCCATCCAGATAGTCTGTGCAGGTGTACATCCAAAGGATAATCAGATTTACAATTGCTTTTATTTCAGACTCCTCATTCACTAATGTGCTAAGTCTTCTCAACTGTTTGCAGATTTGAGCCCCTGAAAGACAGCAGTCTTTACATCCTTCCTTTATGTTTGTAGTATATAGAGAGTCCCTGGTTTCTTGACTGAAATTGAAGGGCCCATTCAGTCTGGGGAGCTGAATTGTAATAATTTATAAATCATTTTATTTCAGTTTTATGCCGGCGTCTATAATCACCGTCTCTCTGCTAGAAGCCTTTGTGCTTGCAACAGGAAATATTTAAGGCAAGGTATTTTGGGACCCACACTTCTGAATATTATGTGGCAGGCACCGAATGGCCTTCCCCCAGTGGGTTGTCTTGTATTATAGAATGGTTTGATTCCATCAGACACAGACTGAAAATGCACATGAACTTCTAATTTTAGGTTGCATCATGAGGACTCATTGTGACATTTTCAATGAGGTTAAAGGCCAAAAAATTTCCTATTGTGGCAATTTCCAATTACTGGAAAAGCAGCTAGCCTGCGTCCCGCACTTTTCTAGTGCACGACCTGTCTCTGCTAGTCTCTTTTTTTCCCCAAATGTTATTTAACATGTAGGGCAAGTTGTGTGTGTGTTGTAAGCAGAAATATGGATCACATTAATAAATTTAAAGGGGTGAAAGGGCAGCTGGATTCAGAAAAGTGAATTCAGTATTATATATCTAAGCAGACCAGGACTCTGCTCTCAACCTGTCCTTGTAAACCAGAGCCCACACTCCAGGGTCATAGCGCCACGACCCTGTGTTAAGCTCAGTGTCCTTGAAATTTCTCACTTTGCCAAATGTGTGCTCTCTACTTGCTGTTGTATTAGCGATACCAATCTTGTATCTCTAAACACCAACTTTTTCTCCGACGCAAACTCTGGATTGAACCCAGAGTTGCAACTTTCCCTGACATTTGTCCTCTTTTTGGTTTTTGCTGTTAGTCAGTTTTAATGATTTACTGTTGGTTGTCACAGCACATTGAAGCAAATTTTCTTTTCCAGCACAGCATAATGAATACATCCAAATGAGTGTTCTTCTTCAAAATTATTCCTGTTAGGGAATATAATAACTCCTCTGATGGAGCCTACATGCCCCCACCCCCAACTGAAGGATACTTATTCTTCTGAAGTGCCTTTCTGGGCAGGCTTATCAGCCAGATGAGAAAATAAACATATGATGTTCACAAAATTCATAGCCAGTAGGCGTTTCTTTTGTTCAGTTTCTCACTTTTACCTCTGCTTGCATTGTTCTATCCTTTTTTTTTTTCCTCCCTTATGGTAGTATCACAACACCTAAGGTGAGATCTCTGAACCATATTTTGGATATTGATCGAAGAAGACTAAAATCGCCTAGATGGGATATCATTTTTCCAGTTACTACAAATTCCCATTCCTTTGATTCACTGAGAAACGTAATGACCTATCATTTTTAGTAAAATCACTACAATATGAATCCATTGTCACATAAGAAATAAGCAGAACATGAATGTTTTTTACAATATTCCTTATATAGTAATGGTTTTGATGGTCCAAAATAATGTGTATGAAATCCTAACAAGATCCTTCTTAATCGGTGTTGAACTCAGCACCTTTTGAACTGTGTAATGAGATGCCTTCTGCAAGACCCCTGGGCCGCTGAACAAGTTAGTGAAGCCTGCAGCCCTAAGCAGTAAGCAGTGCTACTTTGTGATCTAATCTTTGGTTCGAATTCCACTGGTTAGATGGAGCCAAGAGTGACCTAACCAGGTGAGCCTGGTGACAACTGCCTGTCTCCTAAGAGAAGATGATGACTCCTTTCTCTGAGGAAGAGAACACTGTGCTGTATTACCTGCTGAGATCAGCTAAAGAGTGGTCCCTCCCTGTCTGCCTCCGTCCTGTCAGTGTGGGCACAGTACTCCCTCTCCTAGGTTCACGTGCACTGATTCTCTTCTGGTTGGCCATGCGATGGGTGCAACTTCCAGCCGGGTAATCTCCATGCTGCTCCATCTCTCACTCTTCTGGGGACAAGAGGGTATAAAAGGCAACGTCAAATGAGTTTACAAGTCTGTTGCTTTGGCAAACCAAAAGTTAAAAATCCATGGACAGCCGGAACTGTAACCAGAGAAACAGCCCTTGACTATGACTATCAAGAGAGTATACAGACTACTCAGCCATTAAAAAGACTGAAATAATGCCATTTGCAGCAACATGGATGGACCTAGAGATGATCCTACTAAGTGAAGTAAGTCAGACAAATGCCATATGATATCACTTGTATGTGGAATCTAAAATATGACACAAATGAACTTATTTACAAAACAGAAACAGACTCACAGACCTAGGAAACAAACTTATGGTTACCAAAGGAGGAAGAGGGGGAGGGTAAATAGGAGTTTGGGATTAGCAGATATACACTACTATATATAAAATGGGTAGACAGTGAGGTCCTAACTGTATAGCACAGGGAACTCTATTCAATATCTTACAAAACCTATAATGAAAAAGAATATGAAAATAATATGCATGTATGACTGAATCACTATGTTGTACAGCAGAAACTAACACAACATTGTAAATCAACTCTACTTCAATAAAAGAGACTATGTAGAAAACAATACCAAAAGAGTCTATGTTCTTGAAATTGATGCTACATATTT